CAGACACACTGAAGGCCTTTAGGCACACAGAGATGATTACATTGCGCAGAGTGTCAGGAAATGAGAGTGGCTCTCCTCATGTCCTCTCAGGATTTCTATTTCTGAATCAGGGGAGACTGAGCAGAACCTGCTGCAGCTCAGAGAAGACGAGACTCAAAAATATGTCAGCACTTTYAGCGTTACACAGCTTCTTTCTCAGAGGAAATCTCTAAATGGCAGCATTGTATGTGATGATTGTGTAATTAACGTGGCAGCTATTWAACAAGGAAAAGCTGAATTCATATTAGTGTTGATAACTGGTTGTGAACATTGCCTGTGAGACCTAAACACATGTTTTATTTTATTATTCACCCACATTTTCCAGCACTGCTCTCTTCATATAGCCCAACAACAGACAGGTGATGATGTGATTCTGAACAATGAAATGAGGCCATTAAGCAAAGGCTTCCATCTGTGGTTTCTGAAAAAAGAAAATAAAAATGTCTGTGTGCTTATTTCCTTTGATGTGCACTATAGGCACTGTTCACAGCTAACCAATGTCTTTTTGCACAAGACAGCAAGCGTGGGCTCTGGGACAAGGCTGTTGTGTGTGTTTTTGGGCAACACGTCTCAGTCGCTGGCTCGATGCCATCTCACTTTGGTACGGAAAAAAAGTTCTGTTTGTACTATTTGTGTAAACCTGATGGTACCTACAGTTGGTTGTATTTGCACTTGTCGAACTCAGTTCAGTCTTGCTTCATATAAAATACTGATATTTCAGAATTTAGCCTTTTAAGAACAATTTTATTTATGTTTGACTTCAATAATGCAACGTGGCAGGTATCTCTTATGTGTACACAACAGTTTAGATCTTTGAAGTGTGTCTCGTTGGAGCAGTTAGTATCTTACCTGTTGTAGATAGCTCTTTGAATGACCTCAGTTTGGAGAAAAGATTTGATTTTGACCGGATTGATGAGCGAACAGCTAGTCCAAACCAGACCAAGATCAAAGTGGACAGCTGCCATTTACAATTAATCTTAAAAAATGCTGTTGTTCATGTAAATATTTTGTAAATTCTACATAGGCAACACCCGATAGCAGTTTTTCTAAAACCGAGTACAAGTGCTTCAAATATTGAGTTAGAACCTAGACATTACTTAATGATCTTAAACATATTTCTTTTGTTTAGAACTACAGCCCCTCTGACTGGATTAAATCAAATACAGCATGACATATACTGTTGCAACATTTAAAAAAAATAAAATAAAGATTTTCTTTAAACTTGGATAAACCTTTTGAACATGAAACTGACAAACATTTAACTTGAAATGTAAACACCAACACATCCAGTGGAGTATCGACATAAGTATCTATACTGGTATCGATCAGAGTATCAAGACATTTTGAGTACTTATAAAACTGTTGGTATTGGACCTGATGCCGATACCAGTATTGATATTGGGACACCACTACTTTACATTTATCCATAGAGCATTTCATTATTATGAGTACTAGCAGGTCGCAGATGAGGCTGCTATGAAGACACTGTTTGAACTTTGCAAATTCAACAAGTTCAAAAAGCAGATTTATAACTTAGATATTTATGAACACTGTCTTCTATGATCACACAGGAAAGTTTAACAAGAATTAGTTTTGTGCAAATGGTCTGTAAAACAGTGAATATTTACTGGTTGAATTTGTTCGATTCCAATGGTGTTTCCATCCCAAAAAAATGTGAGCTTGGTCCGCTTTGTGCATTTGTAATAATTTTTAGGTTTGAAATAATGTATTTTCCTCATAGACCTAGAAGTTAACTGTAATCCTTCTGATGTAGCCCAGTCACTTCAGGTGGGATTATCATGTTTTTTCTGCTGGAATAACAGTAATTAAAAATTAACAAAAGTGTAAAGATTTTTTAAACAGCATTTACACAAACAGGTATGAAATCTTTGAGGTTGAAGTTGTTTTATGGTGGACTTAGTCTCAGAGCCATTAGCATTTCAATTTGAAACTAAAAATGAAGTTGCCAGAAAGTTATCTACGACAGGTAAAATACTAACTGTTCATTACTTTTCTAAAGAATGCCACCTCAGATCTGAGCTATCTCTTTTATGTAAGAATGTTAATTTCTTGAAATGATCTCAGGCCAGGCCTAGTCACGTTGTATTAAAACAGATCTCAGACTCCTCTGAGTATCACTGATGGAATGATAACATCACAGGACTAAACCAGGAGTACACAGCAGAGATTTGGTGTGACACTAAAGGGTTTACMCTCAGTTTATTGCCAATCCTTTGCAACCCTTTAAAAAATAGATTCTCATCTAAAAGTATCGTAGGTGAGATGRTTTTTGTCTTGGATCATGTGAGTGTGGACCTCAGCTGGCACGATCAACTGTTCACTGGGAGTCGCAGAAGGGTCGTTCCCAGGGGGGTCTCGGCGTTACCGTTGCGTAATTTAGACACAATATCTTGATGATGCAAAAATAATAACATCCATCCGTCTGCTTTCAGCCTTGGCGTACACTCGTGTCTTTCGGGGACGTGTCTGGTTTGTTCCGCAGCTGCAAGCTTCTTCATCTTCTTTTTTTTTACTTTTTCTTTTTGGCCAACGGGTTACATGGCAACAGATCCCATATGGTAATTAATATGTGGAGAAGCCATGATGTGAGTCTGGTGCATCAGCTTTTCTTTTCTTTTCAACTCAAAATAAATATCTAAAGAATTCATCAAAATTGTTGCTGATGAAAGTAATGGAACTGATCGTTTTTACATAATAGTCTCATGTTTAGGATTATAAGAAATGTCTCACTTGCAGGCAGCTCATAATGGCATGTCCTTCATTATCAACGACCTCTTGATGTCTAATCCCACTATAAAGCCATTACAGCTTTCATAGGACAGCCCACGCTTTGAGCTGAGTCTAATTTTCCCCCTTGTATTGTTTAAAAAAAGAAAAGCTTTTATTCTGGCATTCAGTAAAACTGTCCACCTTCTAATCCTGAAGGTTTTACTTCGATTCGGGGTGATATTAAAACACAAAACCCTGATATGCACCAAGCCTGACTCGTGTTATATAATCACTGGCAAAGCCCCCGTGGTCTCTCAGTGTTAGTTAGTGCTGAGTCCTAATGCCTGAGCTCAGCAAAACCAGTGGCCGGCGAGTAAATCCCACACCTGTCAGTCACTGTGAGCAMTGAGTCACATCAATGTGAATTATTCAGAAAAAGACCAGGGGCCAGTGGCCACAAACATTTCTTCTTTATGAACAGTATTGTTACGGCCGGCCTCAGCGACCCTGAGGTGTTGTTTTTGGATCTGCGATACCCAGGAGTTTGTTTGAAGCATTAACAGACGATTCAGACACTTTGGAGTGGGCTTCTGTGGAGCCATAAATATTCTACATCTCTTAGATTGAYAGTTCTTTGATCAGCAGATAAAAGCGCTTAATAATGACTAAATAATCGAGGGGTGTCCAATCCTGAGCCTCGAGGGTCTYTATCCATGTTTTACTTGTTTCCCTGCTCCAACACACCCGACTCGGTGATTGAATAATTTAAATTTTGCAGAAGTCTGTTAGTCCCTCGTTCGTTCAAATCTGGTGTATTTCAGTGTTTTCTCCTGCCCCGCTCACTCACCTGCCCCTCGTTATCTCTCCCCCAGGTGATGCTCATTTTAGCTTGTTAGTGTTCCCTTTCAGTTCTGTTCCCCTCTGTTTTCTTGGCGCGCTGTGCTTTCCATAGCTGTTCATCTGTTGTGTTCATTCCTGAGCCTCACATTTACCTGGAAGCACCCAGCTGCCATGACGGCACTTTATTTCCTTAATAATAAGTCAATTTTATCTTTATTTCCTCATGTTCCCCAAGTCTTGTCGGTACCACAATGTTTAAAGGCAACTAGGTACCGTATTATTAATTACTAATATTATTAAAGCTACTTTAGAATAATTATTTTTTTCACATTTTGCTTATTCAAGCAAAATATTCTTCACTTCTTGTTGAGAGGGACCAGGCTGTACTGGAAGTGCTAGAGCTCGCTGCTGCAGTTGTTTTTTTGCGTATGCAAATAACTTTATATAAATAAACTGAACTGAATTCTATGTAGATAAACAAATTTTACAAAATTAGGATGTTAAACATATTTTAAAAGGTTTTATGTGGAAATCAGCAGCTGGTACGTCATCATACGGGACAGAATTAAGATTTTGTCCCTCCAAACAGACCAACATCTCAAAGGATCCGAACTATCCCTTTAAGGTTTTCTACTTCAGATCCTACAGTAACAATGATCTCTTATGAGTTGTTACAAAAGCCCTGTTCAGGTATCTTTCCTTGATACACGGAGCCAAACATCCTCTCTCTCTCCACTGATTGTTTGTGTGTTGCTGTAATTAACTGATGAGGCATCTTGAATCAAAACCAGGAAGTTGTCCGACTGCGCTGACATGAAGCTCGAGTGGCCCTCATGCTGACATACTCTCTCAATTTCCTCCTTTTTCAACGTCAAACCAAGCTTGAAGTCCAGATTTGAAAACTTGCAGAACAACGCAGACTTTGGACCACAGTCATCATGAAAAACAGTAGTCTCATATTTTCTCAGTAACTGTCTTTAATTGAATCTTTAAAACGACTTTCAAAGAAAATCAAATGCCCAGGAGACATTTTGCTGGACATAGGAAGACTTCTACAGAGGTCAAAGGTCGATTTTTGTCCCCAATCATCCCTTTAAGAGAAATACCTGTTTATTTGCAGAGCAGAAACTAAACAGTTGAAAATATGGATAGGAATAATATTTCTATCGTCAATTATCTCTAACAATTTAATTTCAATACTCTGTAAAAGCAGATATTTATTGCTGTTTTCTATTAAAAAATAACCTTATGTAAAAATAAGCTGGTTTATTCAGCTGTGCTGCTCATTCAGATCTTTTTTTTTAAATAAGAGAACTACTGTTTTTACTAAATTACCTTTTATACTTTGCTAAAAGATTAGAGCTTTCTTTTTAAGGGCACAACATCAAAGCTAAAATCATCCATATGAACTGTGCATTTCAGTGACGCTGTTCTTGAATCTTTACATTTTTTTTATTAACACTGAAATTGTTTGAATGTGTGCAAATATTTGAAACTTTGGTGCACACAGCCTTCTCAGAAGGTAAGGAGCACAATCCACGTTGGGTGAAGAAAACCTCAATTATCAGAAAAATATTGATGTATAGTTTTCTACATCCTGTTTGGTTCTTAAGGAGCAACATATAACTCATAGTCAAACATCTTAGGAAAATATTAGTCATTGTGACCAACACAGCAACCATTTTATGGTTCTCCTCTTTCATCCCCATGTCTCTCATATTGAATTAATTTTGTTCTGTACATGTATTATCTCTGTAAAAACTGAACTAAAATGGTTTTAGAGGAGCATGAGGTTCATTTAAACAAACTGGACATGATGGGTATTCTTACAAACATGACTGAGGGCTAAAATCTAGAATAAGGAAGTGCTGTTTTTGCAAGGGGAAAAATGGTTTCAGGTGTAACAAATTTGTGTTTAAACTATTGTTTGATTGATCTAAACTGCTTTATCATTGTTTCATTTGGGGAATTCCTGGATTTTAAAGTTAGAGCTTTAAAAAAAACCTGTTTCATCAATATTGGAGCAACTTTCAGGGATTCACTTCAAAGCTTAAATATGACTTTATGTTACTTTGGTATCAAATATGCAAAATCACATTTATTAACAATAAAAAAACTAACATGCGGTGGTCCTTCTCTTCAGCCACATTTATTGATTTGTAAATCTGTTTTGTTTATTGCAAGAAAAAAAATGCTTTAAAACTGACCAATAAAATGTGTGCTTTACTGACTATTGCTTCAGTTCAGACCTCACTCCAGTGGAGTCACTAAAATGCTTTTTATCTGCAGTGTGTAATGTTTGCATTAGAAAGAATCAACAGTAAAACAAATGGAAATGCTAAGTTTAATTTGTGGAGTTTTTTGTCGCTTGTGTGTTTACCAAGAGAAGTGACTCAAAGGTAWGATAATGTGATAATGAGTTATTTATCCCATTGTCCTGTAATAAAGAATTTTATTTTGCAGTGATAGTGGAATATTATCTCAAAATAACAAAGCTTGTTTTTGTTCGGAGCAAGTGGCTTCATATCTTGTGATGTGACATTAAGGAAACCAACTTTGTGCCTTTTTTGTTGTTGTTGTTGTTGTCTCTAAGCACACAGTGTTGATTAAAGATTTGTCATTACATTTTTCTACTCAACATACAGCAGCTCTCAAAAGGATATTTTCCCTGATATGGGCAATATATGCATAGATTTATTTTGAAAGAGAACAAATATAAAGAGTTAAAAGTTTGTTCGTTTGTCTTCAACAAAATGACTTAAATGCCTGCGTATAAATTTGATTTTATTTAGTTGAGGCCTTACAAACGTAACATTATAATTCTTTATAATATTATAAAATAGTTTATTGACTTTATTACCTGGATGGTGCAGATTTCAATTTATTTTGTGTTTCAGTTTTCTTCGTTGATGTTGATGATTAGTAAAAGGCATTAAGTGATCAAAAATTGTTTTCATGCTGTTTCATTGTTGTTGTTAAATACATTCTTTATGAAAGTCAAAGTGCAGTTACTTTTGCCTACTTTCCTTCTATTAATTTCAGTTTTTGAGACCTACTAAATAATAAACCGGAACTAACAAATTGGGCATTTTCTCACTGAAGTGGCTTGTGGTCAGATGTTTTATCATGGTTCTTTTAATGCTGCAAAGGAAATGTTCTCAATGAGTTGCTTTGTGTTTGTTCAGCAAATTAACAGTAAAATCAGCTGATCTTAACGATAACTCTGTCATTTCTGGCCATAAACAGCAGCTTCTACTTTTCAGAGGTACTCGTTGAAACTGAAACTGCACACAAAACAGTTAACCTAAGAAATGTATTTACACCTAAAGACTTAATATATAAGGTTCTGTCATAGAAGGTGTTGATGATTTATAGCTTTTAACACTCTTAACTCAAAATGACCAAATGAAAACATTCAAGTTTTTGTGTAGGAAGAAAGTCTTTCTTTAGCTTTTTTTTCCTTGATTGGAGACCAACATTTCTAAACAGTGCATCTTTTGCTTTTCCCCATTATTTTCTAAGCATTGTTCCTTTATTCTGTTAAAGGCACAGTGTGTAGGATTTTGTAAATTCTTTTAGCCGAAATTGAGATAA